AAATTGGGTGAATACATCTCATATTACTGATTTACTTGTAGTCACGAAAACAATACTTAATTCGAAAAATTAAGATAGAGCCAGATAGTGTTCTTGCCCTCGTATTAACGTGATACTCTTACAAAAATGACACCCAGCTCTTATGATGTCAATCATATTATGGACGAAAGCTCAGCATGTTTATTACCCGTACCGAGAGAGGAAGTCCCGTGGACTGCGTCAAAATGAATATCGTATAAAAGCCAAACGGCTGCAGTACAACGTGTTTCATCCGTCCTCATCTGGTGAGATCGACCAACGAATCGCTTCTTCGTGCACATTCATACGAAATAAAAGTCCCCCGAACAATGTTATCTCAAAAGATTCCTCAAAACTCAATTTCTCTTCGTATCTGCAATGAAACAGCTGTCCAATCAAAGCTTGGCATCACATCGTAAAATCAGAATTTGACATGGAAAACTACGCAAGGGTAGTAGTAGTATCTGTCTTCCTGTTTCCTTGGCACAATTATGTTCAGAGTTGTGAAGAAAAACTGGGTTTCGAAGAATTTCTTAATGAAATGTTATGGTATGAGACTTCGTTTGGAAGGGAATCGGTCACGTTGTTCTCCTTCTCTTTCTCTGCTCTGCCGTGGCCCGCGAGGTTTAGAATGTTCTATTTTGACGCCATCTTTAATTATTGTCTTACTATTGTCAGCTCCCCCATACTGAATTGTGCCGTTTCAAAATAGGACAATTGTTAATACTATTGGTTCCTTCTCTCTCTTAGTTTCTGGGCTTCCAACTTCATAGTCGTAGAGGGCAAGAGTTTTATATTTTAGAGACAGTCCATTTCCCTCTTAGGAACACTACGAGGTGCATAAAAAAGCGACTAGGGTTGCGGCCAGCCACTTTTTATCTTGGTTTATTATAATTTTGCTCTATTTCACAAAGTACAGAATCTTGTTCTGATGATGTCTGTCACGGTGGTACAGACGAAAGCTTGGCACAGTTTCTTAGGGGTCGCAGGACAGTGAGATGACAACTTATTCGCACTACTCAACAGTCTTCCCTACGCGGCAATCCTCCTTCGGTTTCCAGTGCGACCACATGAAGAATTCCTTCCAACCAACTTTCCCTTCGAAATCGAGAATCATGACATAATATCCGTCCACAGCTGCCGCAGTTTATGAAATAACTTCTTGAACATTCCTTTTTGTCAACCTACTCGTGTTGCGTCAGCAAGCGAGTGAAGAATTGTGCCCTTTTCTTTATCACCTGGACTTTCCATTTTATTAGTAAGGGTCGCCATTTTCGAATCAGTTTACACGAAGTCAAGCATATACACTTTTGATTGTCCACCCAATTCATGATTGCATTTTTATGTGCAAGTTGTTATCTTCTCTGTTAAACACACAATTGGTCAAAGGGCGGACTTCGCTTGTCTCTTTGACGAGTTTTGTTGTTGCTAACGCTGGCCAGGCTCACTGACGCTGCCGGTGAAACTTCTAGAAATGTACCAAGTCCACAGTCAGAGTGTGGAAATGATCATGCAAACTACGGACTCCGGATAAGATGCGTACCTCTATTTCTCCCTGACAATATGACCAAATTGCAAAAATAAGGTCAAACAACTTCTATACAACGAAAGGAGACTACGACTATAATATGGGTCACACGATCTTGGTCTTCATACCTTCGATTTTAATAGCTTCGGTTTGATACCTCATATCAACCTATGGAATAAAGATAGTCAAACAATGAAGTAAAGGATGACAAAGAAGGTAATTCGTGGTGACGATGCCGACCAGAATGCCGACAAAAATTCTGAAAAAGTACCAAGTCGACGGACCGACGGTGGAAAACATCATGACTGAAATGGCCAATTACTCCAGACAAGGTGAGTTCAGCAAAGTTATCCTGGCAATACGAGCAAGTTGCGGAAAATGGGTACAAAAAACTGTGTTTGGCAGGTAAATTTTGCTTTTATGTACTTCGCTACTTAGCATCAGCCCAATGCTATTGATAATTTTCGTATGCGTCTTGACTTCATCCTTCCAGCTTTTAAATATCAATCTCCTGCATGTGTTCAGAGGTTTCAAAGTATTATAGCCTGATGGGATGTACCGAACTGCAATCTAGTCCTAAATATTGCCCTTATACCGTTTTATGTTCATATGAAGAAAAGTATGTCTTAACATTTAACTACAATTGAATGCAATTGAAGAATGAAGTAATGAGTATATGCATGCAGCACTCCAATCGTAAAGGTTACTTCATAAACTTTCAGGAGATTCATCGAAACCCAGTTACTCGCCATAGCAACAAGGTTACTTATCGTTACAGAAGAACCAGGTTGTGTCATCCTCTTCATTCTCCCGATCTCACCGCTTGACATTACTCTCTCCTTGGGTCTCTTCAAAACTCACGCAAATAAGAGGACTTCTCAACACTTTGAAAGAGTTAAAAGGGCTACATAGAAGCTCTTCGACACAAATCTGATAAAAGTGGCCTCAAGGAACTACCCGATAAATGAAGGGAACAGGCATGGCACTTGCTAACCAACTTATCAGCATCGCAGGCGTGAATTCAGAGGCCTGTCTTGCTCTAAAGATCTCATCTGACTAACAGCCTGGAAATGTTGGCTTTTGAGGCTTACGATATGGCTTCCGTTTCGGAAAATAGTTAGAAGAAATTCAGCGGAAAAATTCGAGCCTTGACATCTTCCTAGCTTATTAAGGTCTCTTTTAAGGCAAATTCAAAGAGCGGAAATTAGAAATTTATGATCAGAATAATATTTTTTTTCATAAATTTAGCTTTCAAGTTAGGTTGTCTCAAACCATCAGATTCCTGGTGAATAGATCTAAGTCACAGGGCAATAGTATGTGCAAGTCAAGTGAAGAAAGGGTAAACACAATGACTAATATAGAGAGGCAAGAGAAAACGACTGTTCATCGTATGCGCTGCATTTTGGCTATAAAAGTGGGGCCGAAGTTGGCTGCCACAGAAGGAAGCAACAGGATGCCAACTGCCGGATCCGTCGAGTCTGCTGAACTAACGGATTCGGATCGAGGTACGGGGCGCCGAGACCCATCGGCGTGGATTGTCATTAAACGAAGGCCAGTGAGAGAGCTTCCAGCGGAAACGGACGGGCTGGAGGAGTTGGCCGGTAGTGAAGGCAAAGCGCTGGCCAATAGATTAGCCCAATCGGTTAAGTCCACTAAACGAAAGAGGGTCTCAGAAATGTTGGCTGGATCGGAATTTTGCTTTGAGAGTGCCAACTGAATGATGGCCTCGTTTTGAGCCGGTGACAGGGTACAGGTCGAGTACACTAGGCTTCCACCGAGGGAGACAGCTGACATGCCACGTCTACTTTTTTGAATGAAAAGCAAGAGTAGATTGAGCAAAGAAAGGGTTTAGATATCATTAAAGATTTTCATAAACACCATGTTAGAGAAAGGTAACATAACTATTGAATACAGATTGTGTAAGGTGATCGCTAGCTAAGATCTTTAATAGGTTGTAGAAATAGCGCGTAGCGAATAAAAAGAAGTCTGACTATACATTGACTAAGCCAGTGTAGACAAAACCAATAGGTAGTGGATATAGTGGATATTTGTGATTTCTGAGCTTACTTCTATTTCGAGTACAGAGTGTTTGGTGAAGAGATCCTAAGGTCGATTCCACCAGAAGCTGACAGCAGATTCATATTGACCAGCTGTCGATTGGCTTTACTGAAACATTCTTGTTAATGCTATTTCCGAGGCAATCTCCTTCGATCCCGGTATCCTTCATCGGAATCGAAAGATAATGCCTATAAAAGAGCGTCAACAAGAATGTTCTAGTAGAGCCAATCGACAGCTGGTTGAGGGAAATCCGCCGACGTCTCCTGGTGGGATCGACCTCCGAATCTCTTTCGCAAACACTTTTAATCGAAATGTAAGTAAGCTTAAAAATTATGATCCAAGAGATTCACCGAAGCCCAACTTTTATAAAAGTGTGATGAGGCCACACTCGGTTTGCCACAAAAGGGCGCACATTTTGATGATTGGAATGTAAACAAATGAGAAGTTGTGATAGGGCGGCAGTGGGAGC